TAATTTCTTTCGAATTTCTAATAAGCAGGTTGAAGTTTAAATTACAAGATCTCTAACAGAGTCAGGATCCAAATAGCACAGGAGCCGGCAGACAACAATTTCTGGGGCCGGATGGGTTTCAGGTTTGCTCTTTGCAAAGACAAAGCTCCTATTGAGTGGTGGAGAGGAGAGCTGGGGAAAAGAGAGAGGGCTGTGGAGGGTTTTCATTACCTCGATCATCATCCCCACCGCGAGGGGAGGATGTAGAAGGAAGAAAGAAAAGCTGAACCTGGCCAATGCGCTGCTGAAAATGACAGCTTGGAATGAATCACACACCTGATATCTGTGGCTCCTCCAGAGCAGAGTGTGGACATGAGACGAAGAGGAGGAAAGAAGGAAGGAAGCCGAAGCCCTAGCCCTGCACACTCACACATCCAGCAAAAATAAAAAAGCAAAAACATCACAGCAGAGGACGGGTTCTTGGTAGGTGGTCTAGGGCTAGAAAGGTGATCTAACAGTTTTACGTTTTTCCTTGAGATGCCTTGTAAACATTAGATTAGGAATGTCAACACTCAAGGGAACTTTATAGTTGAAAACCAACAGCCACTTCCCAATAGAAGGTGAAGCAGAGATGGCAGAGATCAAGAGATACAACACCTCTCCCTCTATGTGCAGGTTAACAATGGAGATTATGGGTCTCTGGGGCATTGCCACAAACCCAGTCTTGTTTCTTCCTCTTCCTCTCCTTCCCTCATTTCTTTTCTCTCTGTCATTATTAATGTCAGAGTCAAGTGCCGTCTTTGAAAAAAGCAAGTCTCCATCTGAATGGAGTTGGGGCCAGGTTCACAGGCATTATTTCTTATTGGAAAGTCCTCCCTGGCAGGTGCTTCTCATCTGCTAACCCCTGTGTCTTCCCTTCTACTGTGCTGGCATTAGGAATTCGCATCTCCATTCAGGTATGGCCAAATAGTATCTGAGAGGTGAAACCAGTAGCTCTCAAACTGGGCTGCCAAAAAGTTGTTTTTGTTTTTGGATGCCCAGTCTCTACACTCCAGAGATTCTGATATAATTGGTCTATGTTTTTAAAGTTCACCCCAGGTGACCCTTACATGTCACCAGAATTGAGACCCCTTATGTTAAGAATTATCCAAGGAGTGGTTCTCAGACACCTGGAAGGCTCACGAAAGCTAGGTTGCTGGACACATCTGCAGAGTGGCTGATTCAGTGAGTCTAAAGGTGGATCAGAGAGTCTGCCTTTTCAGCAAGCTCCCAGGTGATACTCAGGTGGCTCCCAGGGACCACACTGTTAGAACCACTGACCCCAAAGCATATATGTTGTAATTGGTGAATAAGATGGAATGTGGGCCTTCCTGCCTCGAAGTCTGCACCCCAAGCATGTTTATATTTCCCTTTTAGTTTTATTTATTTATTTAGAGACGGAGTTTCACTCTTGTTGCCCAAGCTGGAGTGCACGGGCACCATCTCGGCTCACTGTAAAGTCTGCCTCCTGGGTTCAAGCAATTCTCCTGCCTCAGCCTCCCATGTAGGGGATTACAGGCATGGGCTACCATGCCTGGCATTTTTTTTTTTTTTGTATTTTTAGTAGAAACGGGGTTTCACCATGTTAGCCAAGCTGGTCTTGAACTCCTGACCTCAGGTGATCCACCTGCCTTGGCCTCCCAAAATGTTGGGATTACAGGCGTGGCCACCGCATCCAGCCTGTTTTTATTTGTTTATTGTTTGAGACGAAGTTTTACTCCTGTTGTCCAGGCTGGAGTGCAATAGCACAATCCCGGCTCACTGCAACCTCTGCCTCTTGGGTTCAAGTGATTCTCCTGCCTCAGCCTCCCGAGTAGCTGAGATTACAGGCACCTGCCACCATGCCCTACTAATTTTTTGTATTTTTATTAGAGACGGGGTTTCACCATGTTGGCCAGGCTGGTCTCGAACTCCTAACTTTCAGGTGATACACCAGCCTCAGCCTCCCAAAGGGCTGGGATTACAGATGTGAGCCACCACACCTGGCCTGTATTTCCCTTTTAAAGTGGTCTATTGGACCAAAACAGTCTCTAGACACAATGACTACTGTGGAGCAGCTGTAGAATCTCTTTCCTGAGAGATGTGTCAGATCGCATGGGAGAGAACATTCCAGGGCATTGCTACTCAACGTGCACTCTGTGGACCAGGAGTATTGGCATCACCTGGAAACTTATTAGAGGTGGAGTCTCTCAAGCCCCACCCCAGAGCCAGGATTGGAATCTGCATTTTTACATGGTTTCCAGGGGATTTTATGAACATGAAAGTTTAAGCAATGCTGTTCTAGGAGAGCTGAGAAACACCGTGATTGGAAGTTGGAGAAATTAGGTGGTGTGCTGCCCAGCACACCTGCAGGGGGCGGGGGGCGGGGGGCTGCAGCTCATCTAGGTCCTGCTAACCCCTGGCAAATACTGGCAGCATCAGGAAGGGTGTTCAAAGAGGACACTCAACCATGATGATAATAATGACAAAGAGAAAAGATATAAGGGAGGAAGAGGGAGAGAAACGAGATCCAGGTGGCGATGCCCCAGGGAGTTAAGATCTAGAGACTGGATTCAATGATGTCTAGAGTGTGTTCAGCCCTGCCACTGCCACTCAGTCCAAAGGTAGAGGAAGGAGGGGAAAGTTGTGGGCTGGGCTCTGAGCAACCCATGCACACGCTGTCACTTAAGCCTCGCCAGATCCCTATCAGGGATGGCCATGCCTGTTGTATTAGTCTGTTCTCACATTGCTATAAGGAAATACCTGATACTGGGTAACTTATAGAGAGGTTTAATTGGCTTACGATTCGACAGGCAGTGCAGGAAGTATCATGCTGGCATCTGCTTGGCTTCAGGGGTGGCCTCAGGAAACCTATGATCATGGTGGAAAGCAAAGGGGGAGCAAACATTTGATACGGCCAGAGCAGGAGGAAGAGAGAGCAAGGAGGGAGGTGCTACACACTTTTAAACAACCAGATCGTACAAAAACTCACTCAGTATCATAAGAACAGCACCATGGGGATGGTGCTAAACCATTCATGAGAACTCCACCCCCACGATCCAATTACCTCCCACCAGGCCCCACCTCCAACACTGGGGATTACAATTTGACATGTGATTTGGGCAGGGACACAGATCCAAACCATATCACCTGGTTTCCAAGGGGAAGTCAAGATAAGGAAGATCAGAGGACCTGTGTAGTTCCCACAATTACTCAAAAAAAAACAAAAAAAAACAAAACAAAAAAACTAGGAGATTTCTTATCCAGGTCTGGGAAGTCAAAGTTCACATTCTCCTCACCACAAAATGTGAGGGATGGGTTCATGGGAGATGATTACAGGAGCACCAGAATTTGGGAGTTTCAGAGGATTCCCAAATTCTGCCTTGTCCTTTGCACGACAGAGTAACCAAGCCACTCTGAAAGGATGTGGGAGACAGAGCTTTGGGACTACACACAGGGGCTCTGGACTCCAGTTGCCTAAACTGAAGCCCTGTCTCCACTCTTTGCTAGCTTCAGGCTCCCATCTATAAATTCTCTTTGTCTCCACTTCCTTGCCTGCAGAAGATGGAGATGAAACTGATATTCACCTCACTGAAATTTTGGAAGAATTAAATCAGATAAAACATTCAAAATTCTAAGCCCTGTGCCTGGTACATAATAAACACCCGGTCTTTTTGGAAGAAGTACCAGTCCCTAGTCTTGGTCCGGTCAAATAATCTCTCTAATTGCTGCTCTGGAAAGGAGCATTTTAATTCCACAGCGAGACAATGTGGAGAAGTGGAATGCTATGGGAAATGTGGGTACAAAATGGGAAGGCGAAGGGCAGATGAAGCCCAGTTATTTATGTGATTGCAGGATGTTTGCAAAGACACACTCAAAATGCACACAAGTTGGCGTTTCCCCACAAGTGATGGCAGTGAGCCTGGGAAGGGTAATGTCGACATCAGAACCATCTGGCTGTGCCTGCAAATTCAGAAGCCAATCACCATTTCCACCCTCTGAACTCTCACCACCCCAGTCCTACATTTTTATACCAGAGACCCTGAGTCCCCCGGAAGGGGAAATAGTCTCTGTCCCATTTGCTGCCCATAAATAATACCCCACAAAGAGTGCTCACTTTAGAACCTTATCTTGCTTTGCAGTTACCTTAAATGTAAAAGACGGGAGTGGAGAAGAGAAGCACGAGCTGAAAACCTGCAAACTTCTGTGCTGCCCTGGGCTCAAAGGTTTACAAAAGGAAGATCTGTTTTGAGAATATTTTCCTGTTCAAGAAGGGTAGTAGTGGTGATCATCAGAGGCGCCTTGGTGTGTCCTAGGCTTTTATTCCTGGGGTTCACAGGAATCCACGTAGAGTTCCCCTTCCTGCTCAACTGCTGCCCTCAAGAGCCAGCTAGCCTTGCTCAGGTCATTGCAATCAGGTGCCATAATTATTACTATTTGCAGGTGAGAAGACTGAGTCTTAAAGAGTTTCACCTACGTGCTCAAGATGGTACCTATAGTAAGTGATTGAGAACCAGGGTGAGAGCATGGGCTTCCAGAGCCTGGGTTTTAGCTGCAAGGCCAACCTTCATCCATGGCGGTGCAGGGGGACTATCACTGAGGTGGGGACTCACCAGACCTGTGTGGACATCTTGGTCTTGATGCTCACCTTTCTTCTGATACCAGTGTCCCCATTTTTCTCTGGAAAACCCAGTATCAGTCTTGCCCTGGAGGGCACCTGACCCATGCCTGGCCAGTCAGCACATTCCTCAGGCTGCCCTCTCTAGATTCATGGTTCATGAATCTAGAGAAGTGGCTCATTCTGCTGGACATGGGGGTGTGAGCCCAGGAGCCCAGAGGGAGAACCTGCCTGAGAATTAAACCAATGCGGAGAAGAGCAAAACCCAGAGATGTTGTGTCAGGTAGGAAGGCCATGCTAAGCTGAGGTAACAAATAAACACAATTATTGTTATTATTATTATTATTGTGTAGCTTAACATAATAAAGGTTTATTTCCCCCTCACATAAAGTCCAATGTGGGTCAGATGATTTTCCAGGGCAACTCTCTTCTGCTGTTCCTTAACTTGGGGGTTCAGGCGCTCTCCATCTGTAATGAGGCCATCTCAACATGTGGCTTTCAGAGTTCCTGAAGTGGGAAATAGAGACATAATACACTCATTTTATTGGCTAGAAGTTGTCATGTGACTTGCCTAAACTCAAAGAGACAGGGAAATATGGCCGTCCAACGTGGTCCAGAAGGTAAGAACTACTTAAGAATGAACCCCAAAGGTCTCCATCACAGATGGAGGCAAATAAAGTAGTTTAAATGATTTAACATGATTTAAATCTCTAGATCAAGTTGTGCCTGAAGGAGTTGTGGTAGTTCTTAAATGAGCCAATGGATTTCTCTTTTTTAAGTCTAGTTTAAGTTTAGCTTTTTTCTCACTTGCAATTGAACAAATCCCACTTGAAAGGAACATACCTAGTCCTCACTCCCTGGCTGACTCCAGCGTCTCCCTCCTCCCAGTCTAAACACCACCCACTATGGGCTTCTGCCCTTCTACTCACTAAGGAGAACTGCAACACACATAAGCATAAATGTTCTAGATTTTCCTAGGAACTGTCTTTTCAGCTGCTGTGAAGGCCAAACGGTACATGAGAGAGTAAGTCACTTAGGAGAAAATAAAAGTCCATGCTAAAGATAGCCTTCTATCTTGCAAGTGAGTAGGGTTCCCCTGAAGGAAAGCTAGGACTTCTGTAGAATGCCATAAAGTTAGCTTTCTGAGATACTTTGGAGAAAGTGGCCACATCTGTCCTTAGACTGGCAGCAGCAGCAAGAGTTGGCTTGACCTCCTAGGGACTTTACTTGAAGACTCTGGCTGGAGAGAGGAGACCTGGATTCTGGTTTAATCTTTGCCATTGACCAACTGGCTAACCTTGAGCAAGTCATTTATCCTCCCTGGGCCTCAGTTTCCTCATCTGTAAAGTGAGTATGTTAAAGTAGCCAGGGTCTAATATCCCTGTCTCCTTTATGCCCTAGATTTCTGTAAGATCCCACTTCCACGTGCAGGTGCTCAGAATGTGGCTCAGCAATTGTCCTGCTGGTCACAACCAGCAGGAGTGAGTGTGCTGGTTGAAACCCTTCCCAGAACTTCCCATGCAGAGTGGCTGCACACTGTGTACTAGCTGGGTAGACGCTGGGTAGACAAAGGATCTCAGAAAGCTAACTTTATGGTGTTCCACAGCAGTCTATCTTTCCTTCAGGGAAATCCCATTCATTTGCAAGGTGGAAGGCTATTTTTAGCATGGACTTTTATTTTATCCTAAGTGACTTACTCTCATGTACCATTTGGCCTTCCCAGTGGCTGAAAATCATATTCAAAGAACATTGGACTGGAAGCCAGGAGACCTAAGCTCACATACCACTTGTTTCATTGCCTTTGACAAGTCCTTTAAATCTCTCTGGACTTAAGTTTCTCCATCTTTCATGTTGGAATGGTGATTTGTGCTTCCTTCAGAAGATCAAACAACCTTCTAGAGGCTTCTTTGGGCTTAGAGTCACGTGACATGGTTTGAGTTATCACTCTGACATCTTCTAGCTATGAGACCTTGAGCAAGTTGTAATCTCCCCACACCTTAAGGTCTGTAAATAAAAATACCAACCATTAACTTAACTGATGGCTTTCTCTGTGTTTCTCTACAACCTCATGACATAGGTACTATTATCAACTCTATGTTTCAATGTCCTTTAACCTCTCTAAGCTGCAGAGTCACAGAGCAGGTGGCAGACCCATATTCCAACCTAGAGATGTCTGGCCCTAGTCCCTGCTCCACACCACCCTCCCTGCTTCCCTGACATGGACAGTGAATGAGGATGGGTACAGAGAAGCCCCAAATGCTACAGAGGTGTCTCATTCAGGTTTGTATCACTGTTCATCCCTAGAAACATAATTAAAATGTAGTATAGTCTCAGAGACCTTGTGATGAGTGAGTGATTAATGGATGCATAGATGGATAACAAAATAGATAAGTTATAAACGGAAAACAATATGGCGCTATGCAGATGCCCAAATGTACGCGTTGATCCAGGTACCATCACAGCCATTCCATGGGAGTACCAGGGATATGGTGATCAGATGCACTTGGGGTTGGGATACGGAAGTGGCCAAGTTGAAGGGGCCCAGACCACCACACACCAGAGGGGCTGGGGTTTCTTCCTCTATTCCTCCACCAGTGGCCCAGAAGGTCCAGACATGTGCCCAGAGTTAGAAAGTCATCTAATTAGAGCTCTGATGCTAAATCGCATGAGGGCCTTCCCTGGAGCTCAGGATAGAGGGTTGGGAATGAGGCATGCAGAGCTGGAGAAAAAGGGCTGTTCACCCATCACTCAGCCATCGGGGTCCCATGCCTGAAATGAAGGGGACTCCTCAGCTCTCTCAGGAAATGTCAGCAGCCAAAACAATGTCTTCTTTCTTGTGTTTTCACTCCTTCTGCATGCCCCTGTGGCCCAGGAATATATAGATTCATCCATCCAATTTTGAGTACCTGCTATGTGCCAGACACTGCTCAAAGGGTCTGGGATATCCTTAAATAAAAACAACCAAAAATCCCTGCCCAGGTTCACCTTGTGTCTGATCACAAGAGCAAACCCTGCCCAACCACTGCCAGAATTGGTATCATGGGGAGTCCTCTGCACTGACCATCTGATTATCTTGCCCTGAACAAAAGATCAGAGCACTGTTTAAATGCTGGCATAGGTCCTGGAATGAACTCACATCTCTGGAGAAGACCTTCAACATTGGAGAACCAGCTGGTGCCTTCTTCTAAAAGAAAGGCAGAGGTCTTGAACTTCGTGATTCCTCGCAAATCCCAGTCTAAGCCATTCAGCAGCAGGAAATATGTGCACCTGGTGAGGTCTCTGGCGTGGGTCTGTAAAAAGAAGGAGGCAGGTTGATAGCCACCAGTTGTCCAAATGAACTCACTCAGTATAAACGCTGGGTACTGACTAAGTCCATGGCCCCTTGCTAGACGCTGAGACAGCCACTGAAGAAATGAGAGGCTGTTCCTACCCTCCATGAACTTCCAAACGAGCTGACAATCGGAGGGGCTGAAGAGGTTAGGAAAGCTGTTTGGTTAGGGGTAAAAAGAGGGATAGGATAGGCAGAGGGAAAAACCAGGACCAGGTTGGATGTAATACTGAGAACATGCACAGCCCAGGTATAGTAGCAGGGAGCTTATATTCATTCACTCACTCATTCGTCCATTTAGTCAATAAATATTTGTTCCATACTTCTTCTATCCCACTCTGCTAAGTTCTGCAAATAACTTGGTGAGCATATCCACATCATTTCTAAACTGATGGTCCCAGTGGGAGAGACATGCATTCATCAAATAATCACACATTATTTCTTTGAAGGAGAAATACAAGACATATCAAGAGAACCATGTATGTTTTTGTGTGTGTATGCATACATGCACACATGTGGTGGTTAGAGACTGGTGGTAAGGAGACAGTTTCTGCAAAGGGAACAACTTTTGCAAGATGTCCTGAGATAGATAGGGATCTAGTCCAGTAGGTGGGCTGAAGAGAAGCAAACTAGAGGTGAGGGCAGGAATCAGCAGAGCCCAGGCTAATAGTACGGGTCAAGTCAAAGGTTTTGCTCTCGTCCTAAGGAAAGGGCAGCCAATAAAAGGTTTATGCAGCAAACAACTAGGCTGTGATTTGTGTTGGAGAGAAGATGTCATGCTGAGGGGTTGGGAGGTGAATTCACGTTTCCTTCATTTTATGAAGAATTTGCAAAACCTTTGAGCCAGAAAAGTTCATTTTCTGTTCTCTCAGAGGCAGTATAGCAGAATGGTTATGAATCCAGGATTTTACGGTGAAGATTCCAATCCTACTTTGGATAATCAATAATAAATTATGTCTAAGTCTCATGTTTCTCACAGGGCTTTTGTGAGCATTTAAATGCAAACATATGTACATGTGAGCAGTATCTCTAGCACTTATAAGCACCCAGCAATTTACAACTATTTTTCTTGGTTCTCCTTGCACCTTGAGTAAAGAGATGCTGAGCTGTATCATAAGTTTCAGTAGAGTTTGACCACTCTTAGGACCATCTTTCACTGAAGAACCTTTGGCCTATTGCTTTCTTGCTGAAGTTTAAATGTTTCCAGTTTCTTTTTGAGAACAGCTGGTCCCAATCTACCAAATAACCCCTTTGCACACTTGAAGACCATTATTAAGATTCCCTTTGGCCATAAACATACGAAGAAGTGTTTAACATATGAAAAAAATGTTTAACCTCACCAGTAATCAAAGAAATTCAAATCAAAACAACAAAATGCAATTTTTGCCTATCAATTTGGTAACTTTTTAAAATGATAGTGCACAGTGCTGGTGAGAGTAGGGTAAGGTGGCAATTTCGTACATTGCTGGTGGGAACATAAATTGGTACAATCTTTCTGGAAAGCAATTTGGCAATATGTTATCAAGACCCTGAAAATTGTCCTTACCCTTTAACCCAGTAATTCCACTTCTGGGAATCTATCTCAAGGAAATAATCAAAGAATCAGACAAAAATTTCTGTTCATGCTGTTTGATATAGCAAACAATATTTTGAATTAGGAATAACCAAAAATTACCTAGAAGTCAAATGGTGTCGTGACATATATTAAAAAGTTATTAAAAGTCATGTTAACAAGGAATTTTCAAGGACATTTAAAATGGTCGCCAAAAACTGTAAAACACAAACATATAGAAGACACAAAGCTAAACATAGTAGGATTTTAATTATGTAATTATATATACTTTTATTTTTGTATGTGCATAGAAACAGCTAAATGCAAACACAGCAAAATATTAACAGTTCTTACTAGAGGGTGATAGAATTAGGGGTGGCTCTTTATTTTCTACTTTACAATTATATAACCAAAAAATTGTTTAAGAGCTCACATGGCCTTATGTATTTTTCTAAGTAGTTCATCATGGTCCTGTTTCTGCCATAGCATCTTGCTCAGAATCGAAACAGCGAACTTTCAGTGGTTACAGTTTTCCTGGAAAGGGCCAGATAGCAGATATTTTAGGCTTTGCAGATCATACAGTCTTTGTTGCAACTTCTCAACTCTATTGTTGTATGGCAAAACCAGCCATAGATAATACGGCAGCCAATGGGCATGGCTGTGTTCTAATAGAATTATATATATAATTTATATATTTTTATATTTATTATATAATATAATTGTATATTATATTATCATGATATAATATATAATATAATACAATATCTATATTATATATGTTTATATATATTTTGTTTATATGTTTTTATAACATATATTTATATATAATATATTGTATTTTACATATATTGTATACAACTGTATATATTTATAAAATATATTTCTATATATAATATATTATTATAATACTTATATATATATTATTATATATTATATATTATATTTATATATACTAGGAGTATATAGCGCAGCGCAAGTCAGTTTTAGCCTTGGTCTTAGTTTGCTGACACCTGGTCTAGATGATTTGAATCTCTCCTGGCCCAAATTATGTATAATCTCAAACAAGTATAGTTGGGGAGACTTCTAGAAGGGTGGGGTAAGGTTCTTGTCCCCACATTCCCAGTGAGTCAATCAGTCTGAAATGTACTGAGAAGCAATCAGCCAGGGTACTTCTCCCAGGCTTTGTTTATTCACCTCTTTGGGTTTTTTTTTTTTTTTCGTTTTTATTATTTCAATAGTTTTGGGGGTATAGATGGCTTTTGGTTACATGGATAAGTTCTTTAGTGGTGATTTCTGAGATTTTAGTGCACCCGTCATCCAAACAGTGTACCCAATATGCAGTATTTTATCCCTAACCCCCTCCCAACCTTCTCCCCACCCCAAGTCCCCAAAGTCCATTATATCACTCATGCCTTTGCATCCTCATAGCTTAAGTCCCACTTATAAATGAGAAAGTACAATATTTGGTTTTCCATTCCTGAGTTACTTCACATAGAATAATGGCCTCCAACTCCATCCAAGTTGGTGCAAAAGACATTATTTCATTCCCATGTGCCTAAGATAAGAGGATATTTGGGTCCAGGAGTTCTGGGCTGATCAGGCATCTGCACTAAATTCACCATCAACATCAATATGGTGACCTTCCGAGAGCACGAGACCACCAGGTTGCCTCAGGAGGGGTGAACCAGCCCCGGTGGGAAACCGAACAGGTCACAACTCCCAGGCTGATCTGTATTCGCCTCTTTGTATGGCTCCTCCCTCTTCTTGTGCATCAGTGCCCTCTCCAAGTACCTTTTTTGCCACCACCCACTGCAGCCCTTATCCCATCTGGCGTAATAGGAGTTGATGACTGAAAGGAGCTGCAGAGACTTGGAACAGTTGGTGGCTAGTTCGAGATCTCCCCTCTCTACCAACTGTATGGAAAATGTACCTGATAGCAATAACTTAAGCATACCCTGAGAACAACGCTGTATGGCAGATGCACCTGACTGTGTTTTCAGAGTTCCAAACTAAGGAATCTGGGAGGAGCCAACGCAGAGATTCATTTTTTATCTATGAGGAACATCAGAATGCCCAGCCCTTCCTGCGAAACATGGGCCATGCAGGGATCAAGGCTCTTTGTTTGGGAGTCCAGTAAAGGTTGCCAGGTGGAGACTGTCAAGGGAAGGGTGCTAAGTGAAAATGTTACATAAATTGCATGCTCTTTGCAAGTAGCTCCTGCCCAGCCCGCCACCACTGGACTCTCTCCCCTGTATGTAAGCCCCCAGCCCATGTCTCATCTGCTGGCTCTGGGTCTCGTCTCCAGCCTCCTGAACCTGGTACCATCCCCACTGGAGTTGACAGGGGTTCAGCACAGTACCAACAATGAGACTTTCAGATTCCTGGGTTTGTGGTTCCATCTTCCTTCTGGCCACTGTAGGAGGAGAAGGAGAGAGACAAAGGATGAACTGTAATGTGCTGCATCCCAGGCATTGCTCTGAGGGGTCCATAAGATGGTTTTTTGGTGGGGAAAGTTTTGTATTAGACAAATAGAACCCTCACAGCAAAGATGCACCATAAACTTATGTAAACAGTAAGTATATGTGTATGACACAAAGCTTTGGAAGTTCCCTTGTTGAGAGTGGAGTCTTATATCACTCACCTTAATACATGCACAGGTCATTACCCGGTATAGGTAAGGAGCCTTTCTGCCTTCTCCACCTTTCCTTTCCTGCTCCAATTCTTTTTGTACATTTCCAATAAAGTCCCCTTGTTTAAACCATTTTAGACATTGGGGCCTTGTCCAGGAGGCAGAAATGACATCTCAGAGCAGCCCATATATCAGATAGTGAGTAAGGGAGTTATAGGATGACAGTGGCATTCCAAGGACCTCTATTTCCTTGTCACTTTTCCGTACAAACACATCAAATGCACAGTTGAGAACCACCAAGTGAAAATGACTCACGTGGCAAGAAAAGTCATTCATTCAAGGGTCCTCCCAATGACCTCTTCTGGCTTTCGGGTTTGATTCCCCTGACTGGTTTTATCTTACTGTCATACTTTCTATTGCACCCAAGAGGCAGGCACTGGAGATGGTCAACTTTCCTTAGGGACCCAGCCATCCTGTTAGTTAAACAGTGATGAGGAAAGAGAAGAGAACAAGGAGATTTTGCATCTTAAAAATTGAAAGTTCCAATAGGTCATTTTGCTTAAAAAGAAATCTCTCTCACACCATAACCAAGGCAGAAAATATTTATACCCAACCCTCACCTCCACCTACAATCTCTGTTAGGCAGCTGCTCTATGACTTACTTTTCTGCTCAGTATTGACCTCAATTGATATTTTACTCTAATTTCCCCTGAATAGAAATGTTTGGGGATTGTTTTGCTGGAGGAAGAGCACGTTGAGAGCCCATTGTGAATTTCACTGTCCCGTGCCATCTTTTTATGAAATCTTGTTCAATAAACAATCATTAGGGGCAACACGGTGGATGGGAAGGCCATAGGATTAGAAGTCATTCATGATCCCACATGGTAGGCATTTTCTCAGTAGAAGACAAGATTCAGTTTGAAAAGCATTTCTGTCACTCCCCAACTACGTGGATTACTTCATCTCTCCAGGCTTATCTTTCTTCTATTTGAAGGAAGAAAGGATGGCCGGGCACGGTGGCTCAAGTCTGTAATCCCCACACTTTGGGAGGCTGAGGTTGGCGGATTGCCTGAGGTCAAGAGTTCGAGACCAGCCTGACCAACATGGTGAAACCCTGTCTCTACTAAAAATACATAGATTAGCTGGGCGTTGTGGCAGATGTCTGTAATCCCAGCTACTCAGGAGGCTGAGGCAGGAGAATCTCTTCAACCTGGGAGGCAGAGGTTGCAGTGAGCCGAGATCACACCACTGCACTCCAGCCTGGGCGCAGAGCGAGACTCTGCCGCAAACAAAACAAAAGAAAACAAAAAAATAACAAATAAATAAATAAAAGGAGCAGGGTGGGAGTGGGAAGCATATATATGATCTCCATCATGCAGGGCTGTGAAGCTGGAACAGGGGCCGTGTGATCACTCAGCACAGGGAAGGTGCTTAGAACATTCCATCCCCACTTCATTCGTGAAGCAAGAAACCATGCTAATAGCTCTCAGAGTTGCAGAGAAGGATGTTACCCAGCCCTGTCCCCCAAGCGCTGGGTCTTCAGGGAAAACATCTGTGTACACAGATAACTCAGAATATTGGGTACATTGTGAAAGGTGCTGCCAGAACAGAGAAGAGTAAAAAAATTCATTCGAACAGCCGGTATTAGTAAAGGCTTCAGGGAAGAGGTGGCATGTGAGCTGAGCCTTGAAGGGCAAGGATGGAGATACAGCCGGGGCTTCTGGGAGGGAACCATGAGAGCACAGGCTGAAGACAGGAGGGGACAAAGCATTTCAGGAAATGATGAAGCATTAAGGACCGTCAGGTGCAGAGAGAGCCCAGAGTGAGTGAGGTTCAACCCACTGAATTTCAACCCACTGAATTTGCCTCTGCCCCACTGCTCTGGTGCAATGGAACTTTCAAAAGTCTTGCTCATCATCCTCTTCCAACCTACTCATTCCTGCAGGAGTGTCTGGCTCTGTTGATCCAGGCAGTCATCCCCAAACTTTCTCCACAGGTGTCCATGAGCCTGTTTCTCCCTGAATCTTCTTTTCTTTTGTGCAAGTCTCAGTATCATCTCAGTGTGCCCCCAGTGTCATCTTTTTGACCCTCTCCCTGGGTGGTCTCACACCCTCCTCAAAGAACTGAAGGAGGCCAGATTATGACAGAGCCACAGATGCAGTGCTGAGATTACATGGTTTCTTTTTTGTTTTGTTTTGTTTTGTTTTGACTCAGTCTCATTCTGTTGCCCAGGCAGGAGTGGTGCAACCGTAGCTCACTGCAGCCTCCACCTCCTGGGCTCAAGTCATCCTCCTGCCTCAGCCTCCTGAGCATAGGCATGTACCAACATGCCGGGATAAGCTTTTTTATTTTTATAGAGACAGAGGTCTCACTATATTGCCCAAGCTGGTCTCAAACTCCTGGCCTCAAATGATCCTCCTGCCTCGGCTTTCCCAAATCACTGGAATTACAAACATGAGCAAGATTACATGTTATCATGGGGGAGGGGCACATAAGATTCTCAGATCAGGAAATGACATAATCAGAACGTCATTTTAACACAGTGAACGCACATCTCTGTCTGCCCAGGATAATCCCCTGGCATAATTATCAATGGAATCCCCATTCACTCATAAAAGCACTTTCATTTAGATGAAAAATTACATGATCACTCTCAGTTTAGATCACCCTGCTGTCCATGGGACACAGAAACCAGGGGCAAAAGGAGGCTGGACCAAAGAGAGCCATTCAGAGGCCATATCAACTATCCAAGCAAGAGGCAGGGACTTCCAAAGGCAGAGAACTCATGGGAAGGCAAAGTACTAGATCAAAGGACAAATTTGAAGGTGGGTTCAACAAGACCAATGATTACAGGATGAGTGATGGAGAAAAAAATAAGCAGACCCACTAGATGACTGACAGTTTA